GAGAGCCGGGACGCGTCCTTTGCTCTGATCGTCGGCACGGGGACACATACAGCCCCCCCAGCCCCACTGAGGGGCAGCCCCTTGGCCCCCCACCCCCTTGAACACTACCCCTCTCCCTGCGGATGCCCAGCACCGCTGCGAGACCCCGGATCTCCCTGCTCCAGGGGTGGTCGTGGGTAGGATGCTGGGGTCCAGCAACACTACAACATCCCCATCCATCAAACACTAAGCCAGCCCTGCGGCGCGGGTGCTGAGCCCTGCCTGGGAGCTCTGTGCCACCCCTCCCCACCCTAGGGACAGAGCAAGGGGTGATTGCTCCCTTTTACCCATAATTTTAAGTGTTTTTAGCCAGATTCCTCCTGGATCTCGGGTTTTTCAGATTTTAAACTCTACTGAGCCCCTCAGAGGTGGGGGGGGTGGATTTGCAACACACCCTGGGGTCTACCCATGGGGCAGAGCAGGTTGTGACTCCTGGAGCTTGGCCGATCCTCACGTGCCTTTCCTGTGCCCCCCACCTCTGCCCCACAGCCCCCTCCTTGGGGGTACCACTGTGTCTTCTGCCACCGGGTTTGGTGGGCAAAGGCATTGAACATCTCAGCCCCGAGCCTCCCCACGTGTTCCCTATCACAGGGGTCAGGATGGGGCCTGGCATCAGCAGCGCTTGCCCCGTCTCTCACTTGACTGTGTTTTTCCTTGCTAAAAAGTGGGGCTTTTTTCCCCATTCCTGGGCCTTGGCCAGGCTCCCCCGGGCCCCATGGTGCAGCACATCCCTGTCTCGGTCCTGTTGCAGTTACAAAGCCCCTTTTTAATGACTTTAACCGTGCATGCCGATGTGTGTCCCATCCCCTGCTGCGGGGGGCACGGGGCAGCTCCCTCTCACTCCCAGCCCCACAGGGAGCCCAGGGACCGATGTCCTTGGGGCCGTCACCCCTGTCCCCTCCCTGCTGGGGACCAGGAACGGCCGCTTCCGCTCAGATGGCTGGAAACGCGTTTTGTCAGCCGGGACGACTTGCTAGACCTTTTTTTTGTTTGTTTTGTTTTGGTTTTTTTGTAATGGTTTCTCCTGGTTTTCAGGGGAACAAACAAAAAGACGATCCCACAAATCTCAACTTGTATCTCTGACTGAAAGTATTAAATGTTTTCTTCTTTCTAATGGCTGCGTCCTCTCTGTGAGCACAGGGCTGGGCTGGAGGAGCATCCCCAGATTCAGCCCCCCAGAACCAGGCTGCGGGGTGGTCCCTGCACTCTGTGAGGCCACCGGCAGCATCCCCACAGTGCCGGCACAGTGACCCCAAGGCAGCGGTGGGCACATGTCAGGAACTGCTCTTTAATCAACGTTAATCAACTTTAATCACAAACACCTCACACCGAGACTTCCACCACCACCACCATCGCCCTCCCCTCCGCCGCTGCCCCGGGGCTGGCACAGCCCGCGCAGGTTTGGGGTCCCAAGACCCCTGGGGTGAGCTCCACATTGCCCCACGCTGGGTCCGGGGGAGCCCCTTGGCTCACTGAGCCCCGAGTGCTGGGGGGTGCCTGGTCCGAGTCGCAGGGGGAGGTCCCTCAGCTGCTGAGCTTGAGGAGGCCGTAGATCTGCTCCAGGACGGGGGCGAAGCTCTGGTCTTTGGGGGTGCGGGAGGCCAGGGAACCCTGGGGGGGATACACCTCAGTTAATTAAAATACTGGGGGGCTGGAGCTCAGGCCCTGGTTAGCTGCCTCCTCACCTTCAGTTTGTCCAGGTAGGTCTGATCCTGGCTCCACAGCTCCTGAAACTTCACCAGGTCGGGGGCTCCCTTGTAAAACTCCACCAGCAGCGTCTGCGGTGGGGGGGCACAGAGGGGCTGCAGGCACCAGGGCTTGGGCATGCACCCCCCCAGGCCCTACAGCACCACGATCTCAACAGTGGCGATGGAGAAGAGATTGGTACCATCACTGGAGTTTATGATGGGACAGGGATGGGTGAGGGGGCCAGGCATCCCACATGGGGTCAGGGATTGTCCTGGGGTCAGGGGTTTTTTAGGGCCCTCGCCCCATGCTCACCATCTCCTGCAGGACATCATTGGTGAGGAAGCCGTCCTGGATGTAGGCCACCTCCACTTCCATGGGGATGCCGTAGTCGTTGGGCCGTTGCTGGAGGACAGGAGAGTGGGGTCACCCCAAATATAAACCCCCCAACTCAAATTTACCACCCCCAGGGCTGGCAACTGCTTACCTCTGGTGGTGGCATCACCCAGAAAGGAGCGATTTTGGACTCCATGCCGGAGTTGCCATGATAGTAGGGTCCTGGCAGGGAGAGATGGGGCTGAAATGGGTGGGGGGGACAGGGGTGAGTGGCTCTGCTGGGGGCTTGGGGATCATGGGGGGGTCCTTACCGCAGATGAGGGCCAGGCAGGGCTGGAAGCCGTTACCACTACC